TCGTTCTACCCTTAGATAGACGGTTAAATAGAAAGAACGAACTAGACTTTAGAATAATATCTAAGGATGTACATAGACTATAGTTAGATAAACTAGGTAAGACTATTACTAGTTACTTAATTTTACTTTAATAATTATAAGTTAGTAATAGAAATGAGCTCATTCTTTACTAACTATGGGTTTTACTCACGACTCGAAGAAGTTATAGACGAAAGCCTAAATCCGAGGGCTAAGAGCATAGCATTAACTATAAAAGAACTACACGAATAACTTAAATTAGATCTACGATTTCTCATAGAAAGAATAGTAAGTTACGTAAATAAGAAACGAATCGAGAAATCGCTTCTAGAGAAGGGGGACCCCGTCTACCTTTTACGAAAAAACATTAAAATAAAGAGACTAAGCGCGAAGTTAAACTATACGAAACTCGAACTATTTAGAATTAAAGATAAACTTAGAGACGTTATATATTAACTAGAACTACTAAAGAATATAAAGATTTATAACGTATTCCATAAAGCACTCCTTAAACTAGCACCGCGGAACGCTAAAATTATCTAAACACTTCCGCTAGATGAGGAGATAGTACCCGAGGAATATAATATTAAGAAAGTTCTTAGAAAACGCGTTAGGCGCGGCTAGCCTCAATATCTAATTAAATAGTTAGAATACGACGAGTGCGAAAATAGCTAGGAACCGAAGACTAACCTTTCGAAGGAACTTCTAGAGAAAATAAGGAAGGATTATTCTAAGTAGTTCTTAACGCTAGTAAAGCATTTAGCTATTCATCGTCGAAGGCGAACTCACGAGCTATCGATAGCTTAGGTTCATTCGGCGTATACCCCTCCTCCCGATTAAGGGTATCTAACATCTAGAATTACCGAACCACTATATTACTCTAAGCGCGAGTATATCCTTCTATTTACCGCTGATAGCCAGCTAACCGACGCTCTAGCTTAGCTAACTCGGTCATAAACTTAGCAGCCTTAGTACGCACTTAAGCCATACGGTCGCATAGCCTCCGGGCCCGCTCCGTTATTCCCTTACGCGCCTCACGGCACCGACTCTCTAATTTCTCCTTCTTCTTTTCTAGAGACTAAAACTCCTCCTCGAAATATTGACTATTATACTTTATATTTTTCCGAGTACACTTACTATAGCGAGAATTATCTTTTAGAAGAAAGTAAACGGAGAACGACCTAGCATAATTCGAATAAGAAGCTATAGTTAAGAGATCTAGACGCTTTATCTTTTTAGCGAGAAGGCGGCGCTCGAAGAAACGTTGGCGGAGAACCTTACGAATATCTAAGGAAGAAAGAAGGGAAGATATCTTTAGACTTAGATAAATTTAAGCCGGGTAGTGTCCCGCTTTTATATTATCGCTAAGACGAACTCTTAGAATAAGAGTCTAATCGAAGGGAGGATAGTGTTAGACACAGCCTTGCGGAAGACCGACTACGAGTCGTACGGGCACGACTCACTACGCTCATTAGGTACTTAGAAGGACCCACGGAGGAATAAGGCTGGGTCATGTGATATGCCCTGTTGGCTCTGTTGGCTCTACCGGCTCTGTCAACAGAGCGCACAGAGCGCATAGAGCGCACAGAGCGCAAGCATTATATATACACCCTCACTACCCTAGATAGTTACACTCTCTTCGTAGCTAACTTATGTTATCTACTGGACTATACAGTTCTTAGTAATAGAGAACCCTGCTCATATCTTGTGTCTTCCTCAACCAGCTCATGCTATCCTAGGATTGTTACTGAGAACCCTAACCTAGTTAGGATCAGTAGGGATCCTTAACAAGGCGTTTATACACACCTTTCGATTTACGCCTAGTAGTGTCCAGAACGTCGTTCAGGCACCACGGCAACATCGACCACCTCCGATTACTATAGAAAACGCTAGGGAGGAAGAGGTGGAAGATGTGCCAGAGACCCCTCCGCCATCGACCTTAACTAGGCCAACACGCCTAGTGCCTTAGACGCTAGATCGGCCACGGCCGCGCCGCAGTCCTTCGCCTGAGGACTCTCCTGAACTGGCCTTGCCACCATCGACAGCGCCGCCTGCGATGGGTAGTGACAGGGGTAAACGAGTCCGTAAACGGACTACTAGGCTAGTTGAGGCTAGGCAACAAGGCTTCCTGCCTAACTCGTAGGACGACTGAGAGATCAACACCAAGGTTGGCTATACAAACAGGCGGCGACGAGGTCAGGCGGCGGCGAGGTCTAGGAGGAGGGATACGGAGGATGGCGAGCGGAAATTGCCACTAGCTAAATTAGGTGTAATTGGCTTCTACCAAGCACTAGGTAAGCGAACTTGTGGTTGTACGAACTTGCGCTTGAACTTGCGGCCCCGATCCATTCCCAAAAAGTTTGAATTCACCTAGCGAGGCTAGGTAACAGAACTTCATATTAGGCGTATTCAAACTTTTTGCGCCTCACTGTATTAATATGGAATTCAAAAGGTGTTCCTTTTAGAATACCCATACCGGAAAATCAGTTCGAAGAGATTAACCCTAATTAGCCCGTTCGACAGTCTGTTTGTTGAGATGAGCTCGCTCCGTTGTGCCAGATATGGAAAATAAGTACGCGTCTCTAACTACAGCCATTCCCTTTTTTCCTTTTTTTTGGACTTGACAATACACTTGTGACCCACAGCATTGAAGGAGAGCTAAATTCAGATGTCGCCGGCCTTGTTTGGTAGTTCTTTCGGCCGGCCATTAATGAGTTAAAGTATAAAATGAGGGTAGGTACGGATGATGGAAGATCTGGCCGCCTCAAGTTCAGTTCAATCACACTTGCTACCATGCATATTGTAACAACCTTCTTTGAAAATACCTCGGCTGCATTATGCCTTCACCTAACATCGTGCATCAGAATTTATCCTCTTCCTCAGTTAACCAGCCGCGGAAATATTCCCACCACAAGATTCTGTCCTCAGCAAGAAAGTCGCGCAATCAGCGACCAAAATTTACAACAAGAGGGGGCACAAAATTCACTAAGGGGTGAAATTGGACAATACCAGGATGATGTCGAGATCGCGAATAAATTCGTGGAGGATGAGTTTCTAGCTACTTGGGAGCGCAATCATGACCCTACAAGTCTGAAGAATTTCTCCACTCCGGTACAGAGTTTTGATCTTCTCGAGGTCAGTGCTATTGACTTGTGCCAGATGTCCTCCTAATAACGGGTTCCAGATCGGTATACTCACCTTCATTGTCATCGTATCCTCCTCGATCTTCTAAGGCGGCATCCCAGGTATCATGGAGCATTTTGACTGCAGTCCTGCTGTAGCTGCTCTTGGCATTAGCATTTTCGTTGCTGGGTATGGGTTGGGGCCAATGGTACGGCGCAGGTGATTCCCATGAGAATGGATATTAACGAGTATACAGCCCTGGGGCCCTTTGTCTGAAATCCCCGCGGTCGGACGAAATCTCATTTATATTTTAACGCTTGCCGCCTTTGTCTATATTTAAGTACCAATTGCTTTGATACATAATCTTGGGACTTTGTTATCCTTAAGGTTTCTTGCCGGTCTTATTGTCAGTCCAGTCCTTGCAGTTTATGGTGCCAGCGTGGTTGACATCTACGAATCCGAATACGTCCCATACTGTCTTGGAACTGGAGCTCTCACAGCTCTTGGGCCAGTTCTTGGCCCCCTTTTGGGGGGCTTCGCGTATCAAAGTCATGGCTGGCGTTGGGCCATTTGGGTGATCTTGTGTATGTCGGGATTCACACTCCACCTCATATTTTTCTTCCTTCCAGATGCCTTAGCAGATAAAATCTCGAGCGACAAAGCGGTAAGGCTACGAATGCGGACGGGGAATCCTAAGTGGAGGTCCCAATCGGAGACCCCTGGCAGGATCAGTTTGAACAATACTCTGCGAATCTACATGGTCAGACCTTTTTTGTTGCTGATCTATGAACCTATAGGTCACTACTTACGATACCTCCTTCCTTGGTTCAGTCTAACTTAATATTGGTCTACTTCTTTCTATCTACTTAGTGCTTCTTTACGGACTGGAATATCTTTTCTTCGAAGCATTTCCCTTCGTCTACGGCCAGCTATATGGCTGGAAACCTACACTTGTCGGCTTGAGCTTCTTCGACGTCTTCATCGGCGTCGGCTGTGGTCTAACTTTTCAGATCTGGTTTATTCGATATCGGTACGGAGGAATGTGGAAACGCAACGGGAAGCCTCCACGACTTGATGCGTGGCTTTGGACAATGTTGTTTGGTTCTTTCTACGTCCCCGTCAGTATGTCCTGGTTCGGATGGGCAGGGGAAGCGAGGACATATATTGACATCTACTTATCGGCCATAGCAAGCTGACCATCTCTAGGAATTGGGTTGTTCCCACAATTGGGTCGCTCCCATTTGGGTTTCCATTGTTTCTATTTTTTTGTACGCCACGAATGACATTTATCTGGAGGCAGCCAGAGACTAACACAAAACAGCAAGGCATCCTTACATATCTTGCTTTAGCATATACGAAACATGCCGTCTCAGCTTTGGCAGCAAACGATCTTCCGCGCTGCGGATCTGCAGCGGCGTAAGAGCGTTATTCGGAATTCCAGACAATAGCTGACAGAGTAACAGGGTTCTAATCTTTACGCATGCTATGTACGAGAATCTGGGTGCTGGTTGGGCAAGTAGTATTCCTAGCTTCATCTCGGTTCTTCTGATTCCCGTACCATTCATCTTTTACCAATGCGGTGAGAGGATACGAAACAAATATGCAGATTAACATCAACGGGAACCGGATTGCATGTAGGAAGATCCAGGCAGTCCGAGAGAAGGAGAGCGGATGTTAGCCTCGGTGGAAAGTTGACACCCAAGTGTCATTTGGAGAGGCATATACGAAGGATCATTCTCTGCTACCAAATGTCAGTCCTCGGACACGAAGGGAAGGAGGTCAGAACGTAGAAATGTTGACTCTGTGTTATATTCGATCTTGGTTCGTGAGTGATGGAAAACGTTGCCATTTTCTCGTAGTGTCGAGTTTGGGTGCCGGGGCAGGTGGAATGGAATATGGAGAACAATCTTTCTTTAGTATCAGGCAAAATGTCATCGCCATGGGAAGCCAATCTATGCTGGAACCAGCCTGCAATATGCCGCGTTCCAGCAATACATCGCAAATCGGTGGTCAAGGCGTTCGAATTCCAGTCTACAATTCAACAGGCGAGCCTCTCGAATCCTGGAGTTTTGCGACCGGTCCAGCTGCAAGACGATACAAATTCCTCATTGGTGGGCCACTCAATCCGCTTATCACCGCGGTTGGTCTCAACAACAAGATACCTTTACGTGGAGAACTTAGGGACTAACCCGCCAATAACTCGACCGGGACCTGCGAGCCTGGCCTGATGTTGCTGAATAATTACACGAAGGCGTCGAGACCCACACATACGAAGGCGATACTTTCTGCTTTGCAGGCTAAACAGTTCCAGACAAGGCTGAACAACGGATCAATATCAGCGGGTGGACAAACGATGCCACAAATGACATCCGCCTCTACTCCCCAGATGGTTCAGTCGGTGTATGGGTAGTGAATGAGTAGCAGCGGGATGCCAATGAACTCCCCCTCATGGCCGCCTGATGGTATTCAACTGCAATGATTATGGCTAACGGACTCTTCTCGTCGTCGGCGGTGGGACTGGGTCGGACGCCCCCCTTGTGTTGTTCTTGGAGACACACCCTCATCCTGTGGGCTTTCCTGGGTCGCTGTATTGTGGCTACCTAGGTCACACTGGTCAATGCAGCTTGAACCCATACCCAGCAGTCCTTCCTTCTAGCTGTGTCTTTCATCGTATACTACAATGAGGTACGGATCCTACACGAGAAGACACTGCAGACTTCGTGAGTGCCCGCGACCCAGTTTTCTACTTTGCGCAAGATCGTCTTGGACTTACGGGCTCCATTGGCATTTAATCTTTGATCTTTAGACAGACTAACAGATATTACAGATTCCGGGCGCTGTTGGTCCGTTCTTAGCCGGTCGTTCTCATCCCATGGACAATACGGCTATGCTTCTTCTCCAACATGCTCTATACATATATGCTCTTTGAAACGTCATTTCCGGTAGCTCGATGGCTGGTCTCAAAATTACCCTCGACAACTGCGTCTCAATCGAATCCGAAATGCCTGATGCCAACTGGATTATCGAGCGGATGCCTTCCAAGCGTGTCATTTCGTGTCTGGTTGCGTTGTCTGACGTCACCTACATAATCCTTAAGTTCAGCCATGTAACGGATCTAAATCATAATGCAGTCCCATATCACCCGGACAAGCCTCCCGACAACCGAATAGCAGTGATGGCTAACACAACAGTCAATCAAGGCAACACGGGTGCTTGACGGCCGCCTTTGGTATTCGGCTCTGATCTAGAAGATGTCCCCTTTCCGCACAATGAGGTGTTAATCCCTCCCATACCTCCTAAACAGAATACGCCAACCAGGCTTATGCCGCTCGCAGGAGCCATAACCAGGGAGCGATGTTAGAAGTCACCTCTACTTCAACCAGCGTTAAATTGCCTCTCCTCGGAATGTCCCAATATCAAGGACATGCCCAACTTCTTCCTTTTAGCATTTAGATCTCTTGTACATAGCCAGGTGACCTCACCTTCTCAGATAGACAGTTCGCAAGTTCAACCCTCTCGATCTCTGACACGGAGCCGTTTCGAACACTGGCGGCAAAAGCATCAATCACCGAACAACGTTCCCTGCTATGAGCCGTTTGGAATGACTTGCACGGCTACTGCCTCGCTAAATCCCTGTTCTTTGCCTCCTGGTTGGTATATGCCATACGTACTTACCAATGATACTTCAACGGTTTCGCAATGGGTCCGAGTCGGAGTTGTTTCTGTTGAATTAAACAACTGGCCAAGACCGCCAGACTTTGCACAGCCAGGCGTGTGAGGAAATGGTTCTTAAAGTCACGGAAGAGTCTAGAGATTATATCGGTCAGAGGATTATCAATGTGCTGGCCAAGTGCGGTTGTCAAAGATCAAATTGAGCTGCGCCTTTGGATGGCAAACAAGGTCGCATTTAAAAGTGGGTGCGTGAAATTTCACTTTTGACCAATTACTTTCCCCCTCAAGAATAGTAACCTATAAAGCCCAAACAGTTTATCTTTATCGAGCGTCCGATAGAGACCAACCCTAGCCAAGAAAGTAGCCGGTTCTCTGATGCCTGCTGATCACTATCGACTTCGGCGGACAGTGTCACCACTTGGGTTTTCATTGAGTCCCTCCACCAGAAAGAACACTAATGTCCTTTCCAATACCCTCCGCCCACGCATTGATTTCGACCCAATCTCTTGAATCTCCAAATTTGGTCTTCTCCTTAGGTATACAGCAGGATATTATGATGCGCCCGAACCAGGGTAGATCATTTTTGTTAAAGCGGCCTTCAAACAACTCATGGCGACGTAGGTTTGGCAACGTCTTGCGAATTTTCTCTTCCACCATCTGCTCCTCCTTCCTCCGATCTTCTTCTTTTGGCGGCATACCAACGCTGAAAGCCCACACCGCCGTTTCTTTCAGAACGGTTGCATTATTGTGAATGAAGTGGCGGGCAGGGCTTAACCATGAACCCATGTGGATCGCGCTGCCTACGACGACAGCGGAGTAGGAGGGTAGGGATGTGACATCGACCGCATTGATCGGCGAACACCTCACCGTCATGGAGGGACAAGATTCCCGCAGCTTCTCGGCGATGCGCTCTGCAATCTCGCCAGTCGAGCCTCTTGCTGATGCATACGCAACTAAAACAGACATCTTTTTGTCTGGTGTTGAATCGGATTAACACGTATAGCTAAGTTTTATGGGAAATGTGACTCTAGCGCAGCTGAGTACAGTTTCGAATCTGCGTCCTTTTTATTTTTCGCATTTAATGGCCAGGTCCTGTAAATTCACCTACTACTGCTCGCTCAGAGGTGCCAAAGTTCACATGACGCACGAATACGAATTTCTCAGCCGGTGCTGCTAAGACGTGGTGTGATGCCAACCGAAAGTCGGAAGACTGTAGCGTGATAATTTGTCACTCGCACCATTGAATTTGAAGTAATCCTTTCGAGTTTGGATCGTATGTTCTTCATGCCGACTCTACCAGTACGACCCCTTGAACCTTGGAATCTCATCGTACGTCACCGTCTAACAGTATACCGGCCTAAATTCTACTTTACGTTTCGGCAGCCTTGGCTCCATACGCCAGCAACTAGATATCGCCGGCATGATAATCCGTCATATATAACCTGACCGTCTCCATTTACACTGAAGAACTTTTGGCTGCGCAGAAGAACAACTATATCATCGATGAAACAACCAATATTATAGTGAATGATGGCAGTACCTGCAGTGAGTACCATCAAGTAGTAGCAACGCGTCAAACGGATGGACATATTACTGACAACATCATCTCTGCCACTAAAAGGAAACCAAACCTATTATGTCTACGCTGCAGAAGGCGGGCGGGTCCCTCGGACTTTCAGCTTCGGAAAGTGTGGTGAAGGATTGTGGAAAAGGTTTGGCACCTAAAGATATTGGGCGATCATCTGTTAGTATTCCTCGTTTTGACTGAACGAAACGATGCTGAGAATGGTGCCTACCTTATACGAAGGAAAATGCAGGGCGCAACCCAAGCGAATGGGTTCCAAAAATACTTGAATGCTCACCAAAGCTGGAAGCTACATTATCAGATTGTTCAGACGAGATTCTCGAAGACTGCTTGTGTGATAGGATAGAATGATAGCACGATCTCGAGGAGCAGTAAATGGCTCAAATTTCTCTGTTCAATGTCTTAATATTTGCTAAGTTTAGTGAATGGCTTTGCGTATTTCGATCAGAGTTGAACATTTCACGACCCTTTGGTTTATATCAGCGCACAACACAGTGTCGAAGGGGTTCTGTTCCATACGATTGCTCTTCGGCACTGCCACGGAGCTCCTCCTAGGTGTACATCAACGTTCTCAAACCAAACTACTTAACATGTTCAAAATAAGGGCCTACTTCTTTTATGTGTCAAGGAATATTTTAGGAGATTTCTCCTTAGCTATTAACACAGATAGAATGATTTCACATTCAGACAGGTCAGACCTTTGACAAACATTCTTTCACACTATTAGCGGCCCTTCAAACAGCTAGACTGCTCCGGTTACGTTTTCGAAAGGACTGAAATCATCCTCGGGCAAGTGGTATGTGCGATCGTGTGCTTCCCATGTTTGTCCTCCAGCCGGCAGGTGACGATTATGGGGTTTGGAAAACTTGGGAATATCGTACATGCCGCCGGGGTCAGTGCCATGTTTGACAATGAACTGGTCGACTTTTGCTCTTTCGTGCTGAACATGCGCGACGAGCTTTTGAAGGTCTACTGCAACATGCGGATTGCATTTCGCGGCGCCACGGAGGGCTGCTTCGGCAACATGATACCGGCTGCACTTGTTTCGGAGAAGAGTCTGAAATGGAGTGGTGGCTCCGAATTCGTTCTGGAAGGACGAGATGGAGACTCTGTCCAGTTTCGGTCTCCCAAAAAGTAATCCCTGTAGTTCATTGGCGTAACCGTGATAGGTAAAATGGATTTCTCTGTGTGGGGTGAATAGCGTGTCGAAATCGCGGTCGCTCAAGGCATGGGGATGAGACCCTTCGCGTCCCAGTATCATTAAATCGGTGACATTGACCACGCGCAGAGATAGAGAAGATGCAAGTTTTCGTAGATACGCCGCTGCCGCAACGACCTCGAAAGTTGTATCTGCTCCAACTCCAACGAGCACCACATCTGGATCGATACCATCATCCGTGCTGGCAAATTTGAAGACACCTCCACCGGCTCTGCTGTGAATTTCCGCTTCCTCCGCACTCAGCCAAACAGGGCCTGCGTGTTCTGAGGCCACGATGAGATTGACGTAATTTCGTGATCTCAAACAATGAGCCAATGTTGAGAGGAAGACGTTCGCGTCAGGTGGTAGATACACTCTTCCAATGGTGGGTCTCAGGTTCAGCACGGAACCAATGAAGCTTGGGTTCTGATTTGACAAACCATTCGGCTCAGGTCGAGTCCAAGTACTGGTAGTAACGTAAGTCAGGCTGCTGACATCTTTGCGCCAGGGGATATTCCTCGACATCCGCAGAAACTTGCTGTATTGGGTCATCATCGTAGCAATGACAGGGAAACGACTCTCATCGGCTGCAATAATCCCGGTCCGGCCTGTGATTGTGTAACCTTGTATCAAAGCTAAACGATTCATTGTCAGTGAGGACACGAAGTCCACGACGATGCGTGAGCGTACCTTGGCAGGTGTGTTCGGACGCGAACTCTATCACTTGTCCGCTTTTGTCAATTCTTGCTCCGTCGCACTGGAAACTGCGGAATGTGCGGTTTGATATCCTGTCGAGTCTCTGACTGACGACGTTATCCGGAGAAAAGATGCGCAGAGAGTTTCTGTTCAGTGAGAGTGTCTCATCGAGATAGACAGCTGCAGCTTTGAGGAAACTGTGATGGTTCCCTTTTGCTGCAGCAAAATGTCGCCATTCAGGCACATCCAGACGATGGTGGACATCCCATGTCAGACGGTTTTGCCCCAAGCGCAGCTTCTCATTTGGTGGTAGAATGTTTTCAATTTCTTGACATATTGATCCCTCTGGGATAACCTCACTTGGCTGGTAGGATTTCAACCACTCTTGGAGGTGCTGGAGTTCTCCTTGATGTATTTTGGCGCGCGGTAAGAGGACTTCATGGCCATGGAACGAACCTGCGAAGTGTTCTCCCGGGGCCAAGTGTGGGTAGCCCCAACCTTCGGGTATTCTGAGAATAATCATTGGCCATCTGGGTTTGTCGTTCGATGAGCCGGCTTGTGCATCGATCTGGATGTTTTGGATTGACTCTACAGCCCATGACAAGGCTGTATTGAGTTCACGGTCAATATCATTGATGTCGTCCACAATGCATGGCTCATAACCATATCCTGCAAAAAGACAGCACAGCTCGGAATTGTCCATTGATCCAAATATTGTCCTTCCGCCACTCTTGAAGCTTTTCAAATACAGGATTGGCAAGACAGCCCCCGACTTCTTGGGGTCAATATACCGACACATATGCCATGCACTTGTGCTGTTAGTGCTGAGATCATTGCTGAAGGGAGAGACTTACGTCGCCGTAGGCCCGCTTTCAGCTTCACCGTCACCTACCACCACCACACTGATCAAATCCGGGTTATCCATGACGCAACCAAACGCTGTTCCAAGAGCGTGCCCCATCTCTCCGCCTTCATGAATACAGCCTGGAACCCCGGCATTGACATGACTAAGAATGAGTTAGTTCACCAGGCTCCCTTGCTATGCTTGGGGACACCTCACCTTGGGAACCCTCCAGGAACGCTGAAACTAGTCACCAAATTATAAAGACCTTTCTTGTCTCTGCTATAGCGCGGGTAGAAGCGCTCCAGGGACCGTTCCAACCATAGGCAAGCAAGGATAGCAGGAACAGCATAGTTAGGTCCAACGAGCAAAATCACTTGCTGGTCGTACTTCTGAATGATAAGGTTCAGATGTGCAAAAATTAATGTAATTCCAGGGGAGATGCCCCAGTAGCCTTTTTTTCAATTATTATCGATTGCAGAAGAATACGACTCGAACGACTAACCGATAGTATGTTTAATGTCGTCGTGAGCAAGGTCACGCTCAAGAAGGGCATTGTCTCGGAGGAAAATCATCGCCATAGGCTTGTCAGTATGAGCACTATGATTTCGCTAGTTACTTACCAGCAGAAACGTAGTCAGCGGCCCTTCGAAACTTGATCAAGTGATCGGCAGTCTTGAAATGCAATGGATCAGGGTACAAATTCTTCCCCATCTCCAAGGCACATATAGGGAGTTGCGACAAGGGCATCGAGTTTGATGGTTCTTCGTTCGAATCCGAAGCCATGTTGTAATTGATTGATGGGAAGCTTCAAGTTTGATCTGCACAATATGTTGTCCAACAAAATCTCATAGAGTTTGATACTGGATTAGCGAGTGAGCTCGAAACTTACATAGTCTTCGAGAGCAGACCTACCAACAATGCACTTTATTAAAAGGACAGTGTTCTTGCTCAGTCACGGGATTCTCTTGATCTTAAGACTATCGATCTCGTTCAATCTACTGGTTAAGGTGGTGTGAGGCAACGACAAGACGAATAAGAACTCTGGCTATTCAAAGTCAGAAGCTTTGCGAAGTGCCAATTAGAATTCTTTGCCTCACACCACCATCGTAAGCTACTCCGCACCTTTAAGGCATGCAGATGGCGCCGTCATTAGTCGCAAGTAATTGGTCAAGATACTTAATTGTCTGGGGGTTTGCGCATCCGATGTAAGGGTTACCGGAATGCTGCTTTGGACGCAAGTTGGCATGAAATCTTGCAGCAGCGGATTGCTAAAATGAGGCGATTCTCTGTGTGCATTGGTAGGCGAAGCTTGTCGCTTCATATTGCCACCAATCCCCTTTTTGTCTAGTCCGCCTCGTTCTGCCTTGCATGGAATCTTTCAGTGGCGTCCCAGCCGAGGATACCTACCAAGTACATGGTCGAGTACTTGCTCGGAAAGGAAATCAAGCACGTTCTTTGTCTTGCCGCCCTTCCTGTTCCATTTTAAAGTATCCGTTATCTGTCGATTCGATCCGGGTTCACGCGCGAACTAAGCCCTCTCCCTTGACCCAAACAAAGACGCAAAATCAGCAGAGTGTCCTATTGACATTTCCAACTTGAAATAAAAAATATCGATTATAATATCAATTTGTTAGACCATATTTGCCGCGTCTGCAATGTGGGCAGGCTCCATCCTAGACGGTTCCGCTGATGATTCTTCACTTAATCTTGTACGGCACAGTGGACATTTTAGTTGATACTTGGTAAGAATTTCTGGATCCGAATCAAGGCTGCTAGTGCCGTAAAGGGTCAGAGTGACAGCTCGGTGCTGAAGTTCGCTGTCTATCCACCTTTCGCAGCACTCTCTGTGAAAGACGTGATGACAGTGAGGGAGCCGCTGGACTACATCGTCATCTTTGAGCTCCTCCAAGCATACCGCACTACCGTGAATCAAGTCTCGTTAGCTGAGTTCGGCCATCCGAGAGTAATAACAAACATACCATACGTCATCTCCCTGAACAATAGGAGTAGAATCTGATTGATGCGAAGACGTGGCGACGTCCCTTAGTTTCAGTATCTCTCCCCACGTCATTGAAACCGGTAATGACTTGAACACAAATTTCTTTTGCTCGTCCTTCGTTTTAATTATAGCAATTTGGGTTCTCGAGCTTGAACGTGCACCGTACCTAGCGCGGAAAGGATGGTTAGTGGAAGAATACGTCTTTCGCTCCAGCGCAGGAGCCGAGGGGACTGTCTAGGCGTACCAGAATGCAATGATTATTGCCAGTATTATGAGAGCTGGGATGGTGAATAGGAGGGCAAAAGCAGCGATCGGTATTGCATGTTTTGACGGATCTCCTGCATCGACTGGAGTTGAAGACGCCGAGGCTGCAGCAGACGTCGTGCGAGCAATATTGCTTACATTCAACATAGATAGCTCGATCGGATGCCGGGTCAGGTATAGAGTGTTTGAGTTGGTTAAAGTTGGAGTGGGCTAGTGGACCTAACATCGATAACAATATGAAAATGCTCTTGTATTAAGACCTCTATCGGAATAAATTGCCTCTCTCAATATCATTCATATATTCGTCCTTTCCTCTCGCAATTTGAGTTGCACACGAGCTTTTCGCGTGGTGCCCAGAATTAAAAAGGACGGAAAAGCCACGTGATCGGGTTCCGAAGTGGAAAAAGGGCTCACCACTCTTGTTTCCAAGACGATTCTATCAAGTATACAGAATCACACCACGGCATGGACCCAAGTAACAAGTAACAAGTACTTGGTACAGTAGGGGAATATCTCGTAGATTCGCTTCGACAAGTCATGACGCAATGGATTTTGAACTCCTCGGTCCTGATCTTGTTTCAGGAATGGATGCAATTCGCGGTAACGGAAGTGCGGCGCAACAGCTCCAGGAAGTAAACGGCAATTTTCGCGCATTAGGCAAAGAAACTGCAGAGTTTTGAGTGCTCCCGGCGAAGAAATACCGTAGCTATCCCAGAGTGTTGAGTTTGAATCGAATGACGCAAAACAAACAACGAAATCGCATGATTCCGGGAGACTGCTGGTCAGGAGGTTCGTCGTCTCGTGGAGGGGATCAAATTAAGCATTTCAGGCCTAACGCTTTTAGTAATACTTCTCTCTACATTGCTACTGGCTGCGTGCCTACTTCCGTACTTGTTGGTACCTACTTGTTGATAAGTAGCGAGGTAGTTCTTTCACCCTTTCATGGTGTCAACTATACTTGGACTTTTGCTTACGGTGGTGCCCCTCACAATTGTTAACGAGGTGTATATTTCAGTTTTCTCCTTTTGTGTTAATTTGGAGTCTTGCGTGAGTCAGCACCTACACGTAAGGAAGCAGAACCAGCTCCCCTCCAGGCGAGAATATCGAAAATCACTAAGAGCCTATTTTCGTCCAGAACGAGATGATTCAGAAATACAAAACTGCTGAGCTTGATTGCTAATGCGTGTTGTCTCTTTTGACTTTCTAAACCAGTCCGCAAAACAATCCAAATCCAATAAAAAGAGATGAGAAGTGCAAAACAACTCAAGAGATTGTGGCAAACAGTCATACGGCGGTACGAAAAGCCCACAGATTATTCTGCTTGCCTACCTACCTATAGGAGTCCTCTCAATGTATCTCTAGGCCGGCCCCCCAAAAAAACTCTGCGCCAAACTGATATCGAACTCTGGGCAGAGCAACTTTTTCTACTCCTAGCCAATTCCAAAAGTCTATATATTAAGAGATCTCCAAAAGTGATTATTAGTCTTGTGGCAATGGCATCCACACGAAAGATCAACCAGTGGCGAAGTTCAAACCTTCCTACAAGTACTCGACTTGCATCTTGAATCCAGAATGGCATCGTCCCGTCAGGTCCCGTACTTGGTGATAGGGGCAGCCTCAGTTCAATAAATAAATGTCTGTTCCGGTCCTTCCTGCATCGATACCATTCGGTGTATAATCACATCGCCATCTGAATGGCACCACAGGTAGAATTCTTCTTGCGATCAATTGAAGCTGTTGAAACGTATACGAGCAAAGCTCCTATCACAGCAGCATCCAACTTGAGGTTTCAGGTTCGCTGCGAGATTTATGTCTAGTCAGCCTAACCGGTCCATATGTAAGTCCAGTTTTTTTTCTGAGGCGAAAGGGTGAGTTTTTTGGGAGCCGGAGCATAAAAGGGAGGCTACTAACGAAGCAAAGACCAGGCAGCACACAATAGATCACTCTTGCTGGTCGTGGCTGTAATCAATTCTGGGGACAGAACGCGGCGAGAGGACAAAATATTCAATCAGCGCAGGAGAAGGGTAGTTCCACCTCTGTTAGTGTCGGCCACTAGAGCTTTCGAAGCCTCGTTCTTTTGGAAACCCGCAGCCATGAATGCTCTTGCCAACTCTGCAAAAAGAACTTGATGTCCTTGAGCTCCAAGCTGAGTGGCAGCGTCCGAAATATGCGAAGCGCCGCCATCAGGAGGGGGCTGGGACTTCGGGCATCGATCGGTAGATATAGGCTTCCACAATCAAGCCTTGACATGTTTCCACCATCGTTGCTCAGTCGCAGTTAACTTCTCCGTCCAATGGTAGTACTTGGAGATATGGGCTGTTTGGGTCCTTGTCCTACCTTAGTGCCTGCGACGTACCATTTAATCGGTTGAATTTCCCTTCCCCGGTTCTAACTTTCCTTTTTCCGCAGGTACGATATATTATGCTCTTGCTGCTTTTGCGATGGACACAACTGCCTCGGTGATTATGGAAGCCAACCTCAGCTCTTGAATGTAATGCATCGTGCAGAATGAGCATATACAACGGACATTCCCCTTCGAAGGTTCTGTATGGCGGCTACCACGCGCAATGCCCGTTAAGAATGCTTGGTTTGTTATATCAATTTCCACGATGCGAAATCAGCTTCAAATGAGAATCCGCTGAATAGAGCAGCACAGCATCAGCAGCCACAGCTGGAAAGCACGAGGCGGACGCGACGCGAAGCCCTACTGCTCGGCGAGACGGGGAAAAACTTCCGCACGCCAAGAGTGGCCTTGATAGGCGGATCAAAAGGAATCCGATTCCGAGGTTCACCGGATTATCTCCGGATCTTTCAGAATCTCACTTGCCTGCTAGTCTGGTTGTTGTGATAGTGGTCAGATCAATAATTCGAAAATCAGCCCTTTGCTTTGGACCTGGAAGCCTCCATCCAAAATGTCATGAGACTGTCTTGAATGATATACGTCCTCCATTTTCTTTGCAGATACTTGGTACATCATTTCATAATTTCGGAAAACCGCGCTCGGCACATCCAACGTTCTCGAACACTTTCAGCTTTAGCTACAGTACAGGAAAATGGTGCTACACCACTTCGGTAAGAGACTAACACGTTCAATATGGTGACGAGAAGTAGAGCTCGACTTCCGAATACCGTCAAACTATATCATCCTTCTCCGAATGCCCCGGTAAGTGTGTTGCTCGGTTGTTACAAATCAACACATCAACCAAATCTTGTCCGTCTCCAGACATCTTAATCTTGTTTGCTGAGCACCAAACATCCCAAGACTTTCAATTCACTCTGAATACGTACACACTCCCTGCTGTTCGCAGCTTCACATTCCTCTACACAGAAAGGGAAAGCCAGTTCATCCCAATGCAGACCGACGTGATTATCTTCTCCAACAGGCACACGCAAATCTGCACGCGACACAATGTGACGAATTCCTTGTGGCAGGCCTTGGCTGAAAACCCCTTCTGCATGGACGCTCAGCAATCCAAAATAGCCCATGAGAGTCCAAGCTTGGGAAATTCCTCAAGAAATCCGTCCCACTACGGCTCCTTGTCGGCACCGACGTCCTTACCATCTGCTACTTTATACACAGAAAATCGGCAGAATAATTTACGAACATGCAACTCCGATGACGCTACCAGAAGATCATTGTCGGATGAACATAGAGGGCATCATGATTTTCAAAGCCGGATTTGGCAAGAGATCGAGAGAAGGCGAAAAGCCGACCATATCATTGACAGGATCACCAGCCCCAAAACCAAGCAGCAAGCCAGGGCTCGTGAAGATAAGAACCGGTCAACATGGGCCCAACGCACCTCCTTATCCAGAAATTAAGCAAGTGAAATGTTCATACAATTCCATCTCATGGGCGTGGAGGTCGAGACACGCGGCGTGGACTCTTAAACTCGTCCCCACGAGCTATCCCCATGGAAATCTCTAGATCTACCCAATCACCCCACTATCTGGGCAGTTGCTGGAATGTGTTCTCTGCAATCATGTTAAGGTCTGTCAGTCTTGCGTCAGAGTGGAGCTCTTTCGCCTGAAGTTCTATGAAATGTGCCCGGCTCTGTTGTTGAAGCTGAATTGTATCTAGTTTCATTCACCAAGTACACCAAACCTGCCCATTGCCGTTTACATACGGGCTCAGGCAGCACCAATATCAAAATCATCTCCTAACATCAGACTACAATTTTGTACAGCCGATGACGCCCAACCATCACATACGGCCAACCCGAACCACGTTTCTCTTACGAAACCGTCGACGCCAGATACCTCCAGGTTAATTTCGACCATATGTCAATATAACCTGTAGATATTTGTCTAAAGATTTACGGGGTCTGAAGTTGAATCAATTTAAATGCCGTCGATCCATGGATGGTGTTGCTCGCGTCGAGAGTGGACTACTTATAAATTAGCAAATTCGCTGGATAGGTACGGCAGTCATACCCCTCTGGGAAGAGGGAAGCTTTCAATATCTCAGTCCATTGCCAACACAGAATACAAAGATTGCATTATACCAGCCCCGAGGCTGGATGCTTCGCTCTTCCGGTTGGTGCTCGGCACCGAGGGGGAAGGATTTCTCCAGTGTGGGGTTGTGGGCAACTACCGATCATGGGAGGGGTCCTAGTTGGTTTTCAATTTTCGAGAGCCGACCGAACATGCGAACCCGAGACGCTGAACGTCGAACTTGACGAAAAAGCCTCTGCCCGCGTTGGATATACTTTAGGTCAAATACTTTGCAAGAATATTAGAAGACCGGTAACATTCCAGCCAAATTGCTCTTGTTTCCCTTGCCATTTCCATGTCCTGGCCGCGTTTTGAAACGCCACAACCACATTACCAGGAACAGGCACACCTTCTCAGAGACGTCCTTGGTCTGCCATCCCTCCACAGTCTGCGTTCATAATGTCGTTCAGTGAGCAGTTTGAATCTGCCACCAAACCTGGTCCCGGTCGAAAAATCGTCGGCGCAGTCGTGATAGCAGCTGACGCATCCGGTTAATTGGGCTATTTATCTCTACGCAGTGAAAACTTTGTTAACTTGGATCTAGGTGATATAGTCTATCATGATGCCAAAGGGACCACATCTGTCATTCCGGAGACTGCCAGACCGATGACTGAAGATACTACTTTCTGGATTGCCTCATGTACAAAACTACTGACGACCATTTCCGCAATGCAATGTGTCGAACAGAGTAAGCTAAACCTCGACGACGACGTCTCCTCGATCCTTGATGAGTTCGAGTCACCAGACATCTTGACTGGCTGGAACCAAGACACAGGAGAGCCGGAGCTGAGAAAGGCAACAAAGAAGATCACCTTGCGCCAGTTATTGACACATTCGAGTGGGATGGGGTATGATTTCCTTTCTCCAGATCTCCTGAAGTGGCGACAATGGCGCGGGGAGGCAGGCCGCCCAGCTGAAGGTGAAATTGTAAGATCGATTTCTTGAAAGTTTGCCGTTTTGGAATCCTGACATGGTGGGCCTTAGCGGAAACAATATCTTATGCCTCTCTTGTTTGAGCCCGGTGAAGGCTGGAACTACAGCTGCAGCATCGATTGGGCCGGCAAAATGGTCGAGCGGGTGAATGGAGGAATGACGCTGGGGCAGTACATGAAGAAGAACATTTGGGATCCTCTTGGAATGGTATCCACAGGCTTTCGTCTCCAGGAGAACGAAAGGCTGCGCAATCGATTGTGTGCCACGACCGCCAGAACACCACAAGGAGACCTTGTATCGGCCGACCCTTACCCCAATCCAAATCCAAAAGACGACCTAGGTGGCGGGGGGTTGTATGCGTCCGCTCAAGATTATATCAAAGTGCTCGTGTCCTTGCTCAAAAATGACGGCATGCTCCTCAAGCCAGAGACCGTAAAATTGATGTTCTCACCACAGCTTTTGGATGAGGGGAGTTTGGTTGAGACAGTGACCGTGCAAGGGGCAGGTCTAATGTTTCGGGGCGGAGTTGACGGTCGGGCGTGGAATTTCGGCCTAGGGGGGATCTTGAACATGGAAGACGTGGACGATATCTGTAAAAAGGGAACAATGTCATGGGGAGGCCTTCCAAACCTGTTCTGGGTTCGTCGTAGTCCTGGATCCATCGTTATCTAAAGCTAACCATTCTAGTGGATCGACCCCAGTGCTGGCAATTGCGGCATGTACGCATCTCAAATTCTTCCACCAGGCGATCTGGAGTCCATCAATCTCGCGGTTGCGTTCCGCAGAGAGATCTCCACTCATCATGGAGGAAGATGAAGAAGAAGAAGAAGAAGAAGAAGAAGAAGACAAAGATAAAGACAAGAGATGTCGACTAGAAAACAGGTCAACGACTTCGAGTAAAGTCCTTTGTGACAATATCGATTGTCCTGTTGATGTTGACACAATTAATTGTGCCGTTTCCGACTCGTAAGGGAGGATGAGGAGGCATACTATCTATCTTGGCAGCAAGAATCCATCAAGCCCCAGTTTGCAATATCTATCCGGAAGAACCTGTGTCCTGTAACAGACTATGGTGTTCTTGATGAAGGCGGTGAGTAGCACTAACATCATATTAGTGATTGAACCGAAACGCGGGACTATAATTTCATCCATCGATGCCCAGTGCCCATAGAAAGGTATGTCCACAAGCACCGTGCCGGAAGCCAGCATGGGATTTCATCCAAGGCGCGAAGTCCGTAGAGCGGCAAGATTGGGCAGCGAAGCCGGAGGTAGCCTAGTAAGCTGATGGCCACTGCCGTGTGTGGGTAACCGAAATCGCTCCCAGCCAAAATCTCCTTAAGCAATCTCAGATGCTTTATAGTGATTCAATGCCTGACCTTTCGACCTGGAGAGTGTAGGACTTCATACCAATTGTTAGATCAAAAATATGAAGGCATGAGCGAGCCATCGCCGAGTGGGCTTTGAATAAGGTTTCCAAAACACGGGTTAGCCAGGGACACGGGAGGCATGATCCTTGTGCATTATTGCGGCCTTGATTGACATGCTGACACCTTTCAAGAGCGTCAACAGAAGTTTCCAATCGTAAAGTCAATTCAGGCGCAGGTAAGACCATAGTAGCCGACAAATGTAGGCAGTACTAAGCATGCGAGCAAATCCGCAACATGAAAGGATTCCAAGACCGACCTACGAAGCAGATTCTGAAGGCGATTTTGATGGCCCACGACATTGTTAGCCCGTATACTCTCCTTCGGTCTACGGCATAGTCCCGGGTGATGGACTCCTGCTTGCAGTTACGTGAATATCGCAACATGGCAGGTACATAAAGTATAAATGATGCCCTACCCATTATTGAGATCCGACAAATAATCATACGTTGACACACCTCACGGTAGGCCAGTGACCTTTTGAAAGATATTGCGATGCCAACCGGAGGCTGCCTTTGCAGCCAACTCAAATATGAGTATAGCGGCGAGCCTGTCATGAAGGTAAGATCCATTGTCTCAACATCTTAATTTGTGGCTAAGCCATCCAGGCGATATGCCAATGCATAACTTGTCGACACGTCAGTGGCAGCGTGTTCACGACCAATATTGTTGTCCCAGAGGGGAATTTCAAGGTCACAGTCGGGACACCCAAAACATATGCGACGACGCAAGATAGTGGAATGACTTTAACATACTCTTTCTGTGCGAATTGTGGCAATGTCATCAGCAAGGTCGGAGATGCTGAGGGTTTCCCCGGTGTAATTCTCATCCTGGCTGGTTCTCTTGATAATGTATCTGGGGTGGAAACGGCAGAGCCTGGTGTGGAGTTTTATGTTAGCAAGCGTGCCTCGTGGCTCCCAGAACTCATTGGCAAGGGACAAATGCAAGACTTCTCATAAGGCGGTGGGTGGTAGATGGCGATGGTGTCGACAGTGGTGCTCATCCTGATGTACTAGTGCAGTTGGCCCTATTATTCCATCCTGCCATTCTTGCCATCCATCGATCTGGCCTCTATTAATATCGGCGGACTTGCCCGAAAGGGTTGGGGTGGGACCAGGGCAAAGGGCAATTGCGGACATGACCTCTTCTACTCTTCTCATGCGAGCTTCAGTTCAGTCCCCAGTCCTATTGTTGAGGCCTGTAGAGGGACAACAGGGAGATTTGTTCGGCGCGAAGTCTCCTTTGACCCCTTTGATAGGATGCGACCGTCATGGATGAACGCACGCCGCTTATCACGACTGTCTACGTAACTCGGCGCCGACCAAGATATCCGCACACGACGTTGAAACGCTTTTGTTCCATTGCACTCGCGAGCGGTCTGATAGCCATTGTTATCTGCTTTCTTCTGCCGGTCGCCATACTGCCTCGTGGCCACGACTTTGTCTCGTCCTACTTTCCTTGGTCTAGTCCTTATCCTCGATCATGGCCACAAAGCGCCGGCGTCACCTTTGACGAACTCATTGAGCTGCTCCTGGAGACGCCCAATGAGGATAAGGCACGCTCGTGGAGCGAATACTATACGTCGGGTCCTCATCTTGCTGGCAAGAATTTGAGTCAAGCTCTGTGGACAAGAGAGAGATGGGAAGAGTTCGGGGTCAAGTCGGATATTGTTGCCTACGACGTGTTCATAAACTATCCGAGTGATCACCGACTGGCCTTGTTGGACGGGCACAAGGTCAAGTATGAATGCAGCCTTGAAGAAGACATAATCGATGAGGACCCAACAACTTCATTGAAAGACCGCATTCCAACATTCCATGGCTACTCCGCCAGCGGCAATGTGACTGCGCCATATGTTTACGTCAACTTTGGCACGTATCAAGACTTCGAAGATCTACGAGCTGCAAACATCACCTTAGAGGGAAAGATTGCCCTAGCGAAATATGGCCGCATCTTCCGGGGACTCAAGGTAAAGAGAGCTCAAGAATTGGGCATGGTCGGAGTAGTCATATACTCCGATCCTCAGGAGGATGGCGACATCACGGAGGAGAACGGATACAAGACATACCCAGATGGGCCAGCTAGAAATCCCAGCAGCGTGCAAAGAGGCAGTACGCAATACATCAGTGTGTTTCTCAAGCTTCCACAACTGACACATGCTGACAGGCGCAGGCACACTCCCTGGCGATCCGACAACGCCTGGTTATCCCTCTAAGCCTGGTGTACCTCGCGTCGATCCCCATGGCTCCACTCCTCGAATCCCCTCGCTTCCCATTTCTTATGCCGATGCCCTCCCTCTTCTAAAGGCATTGAACGGCCACGGGCCCAATGCCAGCTCATTTAACAACAATTGGCAAGGCGGAGGGTTAGCTCACAAGGGTGTGGAATACAATATTGGCCCATCACCCGATTCCACGGTCCTCAACCTGATGAATGAGCAAGAATATGTCACAACACCACTGTGGAACGTTATTGGTATTATCAATGGCACAGCCAAGGACGAGGTAATTGTCGTTGGAAATCATCGAGATGCGTGGATTGCAGGAGGCGCGGGAGATCCCAATTCGGGCTCTGCAGCATTGAATGAAGTCATTCGGTCTTTCGGAGAAGCGCTCAAGGCTGGATGGAAGCCACTTCGAACAATTGTCTTTGCAAGCTGGGACGGCGAAGAGTATGGCCTTATTGGTTCGACGGAATGGGTCGAAGAATATCTCCCATGGCTTTCTAGCAGCACTGTTGCCTACCTCAATGTGGACGTTGGTGCGCGCGGAACACACTTCGAAGCCGCTGCGTCTCCATTGCTAAGCAAGATCTTGTACGCCGTAACCGCCTCAGTGCCTTCGCCCAACCAGACCACCAAAGGGCAGTCAGTCGCTGATGTTTGGGATGGTCATGTACGCACGATGGGATCTGGTAGCGACTTCACAGCCTTCCAGGACTTTGCCGGTATCCCATCGCTTGATTTCGGCTTTGCAAGCGGACCGAAGGACGCCGTTTACCATTACCACTCAAACTATGATTCTTTCCACTGGATGGATAATTACGGGGATAACGGATGGCACTACCATGTCACTGTAGCCAAGATATTGGCACTGGTGACTGCTCAGTTGAGTGAAACTCCTGTCCTGTCCTTGAGCGCTCAAGACTATGCCAATGGTCTCAGCGCCTATTTGGACGACGTCAAAGAGAGATCAAAAACGCTCTTTGCAGGGTCGAGCTTCAGCTTCCAGGCACTTGACAATGCTACAGCAGAATTCCGCAAAGCCGCAACGAGGTTTGACAATTATACGGCCGACCTGACGAAAAAGCTCGCGGAAAACGTGCCATGGTGGGATTGGTGGAGGAAGGTGAGACTTTTCTACGAAGTGCGGGACGCAAACGAAAAGTACAAAACACTGGAGCGGCAGTTTCTTTTTCCGGGTGGCCTAGATCACAGGCCTTGGTTCAAGCATGTTGTCTTTGCCCCTGGGCGGTGGACTGGTTACGCCGGCGCCACCTACCCCGGCCTTGTTGAGAGCTTCGAAGACAAGAACATCACAAATGCGAGGCGATGGAGTGTGATCATTGAAGAAAGGCTAGAAGCCGCCACAAAGCTATTGGAATAGTATCACATCGACGATGGGCCACCATGTTCTTTCATTTGACCGCCGAAAGCAAGCTGCCTGGGGTGGTCGGCAGAGTGGATGGTGCAACCCCCTCTCGCCTCGGGTCAAGAGGAACATATTTACTTTCTCTCAAAATACTGAAATTACTTAGTTAGCATCGGTAAATTGTGCGGATTACTCTAGATGGCGCGATCCAAAGGAAGTACGGCGCATCCATCGATTAACAATTAGGCACGCCTCACGAGGCTGACGTGGCGAAAACGCCGTCAGCGTAAGGCACCAAAACAAAATCGGAACATAGTAATAACCCGAGAAGTATTCTCTCTTTTTCCGCGGAAATCATTGATACTCTGTTCTTTGTCATGAATTGGAGACCAGCATAAGCGCAAAGTCTAGAGGACTTCCACCGAATGCACCGTCCCTTATAAAGTGATCCAAAGGTAATATTGACTTGGCCTTTTCCCCAGCTTCACTGTTGCCCTTCCAGATTCCACGCGCAATAGCATTTCTTGGGGTGCTGCGACTTCCAACTCATTTGAAAACAATCGATTCCATCATTCCACCACAACTCTCACACCCAAACATGGCGGATTTGCTCAGGTCTCAACTGCCGTGGACATCCTCTCCACTTATCGTAAACGCCCCCATGGGCGGCTTTGCTGGAGGTGATCTTGCAAGCGCAGTCACTAAATCGGGCGGTCTCGGGATGATCGGTGCCATCATGCCTGACGACTTAGAGAAGGAATTAGACGTCGCAGCCGACGAGCTGAAGGCTCTCACTGGACAGGGTCATATGCTCCCTATCGGGGTGGGCTTGCTACCCTTCGTCGTCAAACCCGAGTCCGTGCTGCCCATCCTCAGGAAACATCAGCCGGCTGTGATCTGGCTATTTGCTGCGAAGGAACTTGACGACTACACCAGTTGGTCTACAGAGATTCGCAAAAGCTGCCCAAATTCTAGGATCTGGATCCAAGTTGGCAGTGTGAGTGCTGCAGTCAAGATCGCAAAGTCGGCCAAACCTGATGCTTTGATCATGCAGGGTGCTGATGCTGGGGGGCATGGATTCGAAAGAGGAGCCAGCATTATTTCGTTGCTGCCAGAGGTAGCCGATGTCCTCGAGGCAAAGGGCCTGGGCGGTATTCCGTTGCTGGCATCTGGAGGGATTGCAGATGCACGCGGTGCTGCAGCGGCCTTTGCGCTAGGGGCATCTGGGGTTGTAATTGGGACGAGATTTCTCGCAGCAAAAGAGACAAAGGTCCCACCTGGATATCGGGAGTTGGTGCTGGCAGCAAAAGACGGGGCACAAAGCACCGTTCGAAGCAAGCTGTTCGACAATGTCAAGGGTCCCAATATCTGGCCGGATGCCTATGACGGAAGAAGCTTGGTCACGGAGAGCTACTCCGATCACGTTCGAGGTGTCGACATCAAAGAGATCCGAGAAAAGCACAATGAAGCGGTTACAGGGGAGGATGGTGGCTTTGGGAAAACGAATAGGGCAAATGTCTGGGCAGGTGCTGGAGTGGGACTGGTGAACAGGTTGCAGAACGCTGCCGATATTGTGGAAGAGGTTCGGAAGGGGATCAGCCTGATACTGGAAAGTACAATAGCACGGCTGTGATTCAATAAAGTCTCCAAATTGCTGCGAAGTTATTCTGTACTCCGTATTTGTATCTTCCATCACCGACCAAAATGGTAGCTGAAATTTGAATGCTGTACGGAGTAAATGCTCAATAATAACTCGTCCCGCCGACACCTAATCCACTCCTGGTAGCTCCAAGGTCGCTACTATATCTTCGAGCGCCAGCCGGAATAATGCCTGGACCAAGTCCAATTGGGCTCGAGACTCGTCGAAGCTGGAGGCTCTGACGTCGAGAAGGTGGTCGCGAAGTCCTCGTGGTAGCCGGTGTTAAGAAGCGAGACTCCGGCATCTCTTCGTCGTCTTCCACGGCCGCTTCGGCTATGGATGGAGAACTAGACTTCCTCGAGTGCGCATCGGCGGCAGGAATCGCAGATGTCTTGGCGTCATCGCCATCACCTTCTTCTTCTTCTTCTTCTTCTTCCTCCTCCTCCTCTTCATCGCTTTCATCTTCGTCCTGGTCACCTCCAAAGCCTTCCATCTCCACCAGAAACCACACTGGAACCGCGCCGACGATGGCAACCAGGGCCAATGTCCACCAAGAGATAACGACATATCCAATATCGACTCCTTTGGTAAAAGTGGCACCTGCCAAAGCCGGTCCAGCTGCTCTTCCGATGGCAGAAATGCTGGTTGCCACACCATTCAGCGTACCTAGTATCTTCAAGCTAGCAGCGCTGTTGGTGAGGAGAATCGTAGAACAAGGAAACGCAAAGATGCCGCAAAACCCTTTGATCAGCATCAGCAACATCATAATGCCCTGCCTTGAAGAGTCCGTTGGCAGCAGCGCTGTAAAGGGTGTTGCAACGTAGACCAAGGGAAATGTTAGACAACAAGCCTTGAGACAATTTAGTACGCCATACCTCCTCGCAAATGGGGGGAAGACAAAGAACTGAATGAGCATGCCAAAAACACCGTAAAATGTAAAAAGCATGCCAATTCTGTTCGAGTCAATCCCGAATCCGCCAGCAAACTTCCAAGGCAGATGGACATCTGGATCTTGAATAGATTGCACCGGATAATGCATAAAAATTGGCAGTAGCTGGTCGTATGCCACCGAATGCATGGCCAAAAATGTGTACACCACGAGGTTGATGTTTGACTGTCCCGAGAAGACTTCTGCCCAACCCGGCCTTTGTTTAAGGAGTTTGACCACAGGACTTGAACCCGATACCGGGGTGGATAGTTCACTTGACAGTCCAGAAAGAAATGGATCTGATTCCTCAGCGTTTGACCATGCCCTGCGTGGGGACCTTCGAGTGCAAGAATTGGTCAAGAATTTGCCAAGTAAGAGCCCGTAGTCCCTGTGTGATTTCTTTTCCTCGAGCGTTTCGTGCAAGAAAAGGAAACCGGCAGTGATCCCACACATGAAAAGAATGCTGATCAAGAGGTTTGGCAGCGCAAAAGGATATTCCATGAGTAGCTTGAACTTCCCGAAGATTTTGGGATATCGTTCCACGGGGTGTACTAACGATCCGCCAAAAGACGGCCCAAATATACTGCCGATGTTCCAAACGAGCGGCATAATACTGAATGCACGCGGTTGTAGTTCCTTTTGAGGGACCAATTCTGCCACGGCTGTCCGAATGATGCCGACATTTCCGTTTGACAATCCTTGGAGAGACCGTGTGATGAAGGCCCACAGAAGATTCTTAGAGAAGCCGAAGAGTATGCTCGAGATCATGGTACAGGTCAAGGCGAGGATAATAATGGGCTTGCGGCCAAAGCGGTCTGAAGCTCGTCCCCAGGCAATCCCGGTCAAACATTGCGAAAGAGAGAAGGTCGCAGACATGAGACCGGCCCATCTGGCAACCTTGTCATCGCGGACGTTGAAGGACTGTATCATCTCGGGCTGGGAGAGGTCAGTGAGAGCGACAGAGCACGCTGAAGAAACTGGGTGGCTCACGATATATGGGTAGACCGAAGTCATTGCGACGGGCTCGGCGAAACGACATACTGCAAGAATTAGCAGTTGCTGCTTGGGCAGCTGAAGTACCCGTTTCGCTCCTTTGGCCATGGCTTGAATAGGGCAAGCAAGCGAGAAGAGCCATGGAATTCACCCTCTGCGCGACCAATGTCGTCGTAGGAATCGGCATACAAGCCTCTAGAGGTGCTCGGTGGTGGAAGAGAGAGGAAGAAGTTCAAGGTGATCACGGCGGAGGGAACATGGGAACACACCGTCAAAAGGCGCAGTGTGACCGGGTTCCTCCACTGCTGGCTCTGGGGTCAATGTGGGCAGTGGGATGCTAAATGACCATATTCACCCAATCCTTGCAGTTGGGATGAGAAAAACGAGGAAGTGGGCGGCAAGGAAGAGACCACTGGCCTCACTAGCCCAAGGAGGGGCAAAGGCGCCTGTTGGGGCCTCGAAGGACTCCTAGCCTTACAGCCCCAAGTGCTGGAAGGCCAGGACGGTGGCTGGTTGGAGGAAGGTTTGGACGGGCTGCATGCCGGGTGCCGACTGCCGCCCTTCAACTTAATCAACCAGCTACGAGGTATTACTGTAACAAGTATTACACCCCTGACAGGTAGTCTGTGCAAGTTCTGGCACCCCCGAGCCGGCAATTTCCCCCCTGTGCTCGAAGCTATGTATTCTCAACCACACGACAATCACTATCGTTGAGCTCTGGACAATTCGCAAGGCTCAAAGCCACCCCATACACAAACACTTCACTGACAAAGGCTTCCCTACGAAAGAAAATATCTCCCTCCTATTGACAAGAAAGCCCATCGCCTCTCGTCGCCATCAGGCGTTTTTACCTGTTTTGACCTGAAGCGCACATATCCTGCCATTCATATGACCAGAACGCTGAAGATCATCTCTTAGGGTTATTTCCTTCCGATGCCCGCTTCATATCGCGCAAGGGCCCTGTCTCGCGCCTCTTTGTGGTCGACAATCGGCCTTGGATATCCGTTCCTTTCAGCCAATTTTCCATGGCCGCGATTATAAGGATCATGGATTCCTCTGTTATCTTTGATCTCCGCAAGCTCGGGCACCCATTTGCGAATATAGTCTCCTTTCGCATCAAACTTTTCGCTTTGAAGCAAGGGGTTGAAAATGTGAAAATACGGCTGCGGGTCAACACCGCTACTGGCGCTGAAACCCCACCCGCCGTTGTTCGATGCAAAGTCACCGTCGATGAGATGCAGCATGAACCACTTCTCGCCCATGCGCCAGTCAATCAAAAGGTCTTTAGCCAAAAAGGACGCCACGATCATTCGACAACGATTAGGCATGTATCCTGTATATGCTGCTTGACGCATTGCAGCATCGACAATCGGGAAACCTGTCTTTCCCTCTGTCCATTTGGTGAACTGGTCCAAGTCGTATTGCCACTCAACATTGCTGTATTCGGTCTTGAATGGTTTATTCATGCTGCAAATGGAATTTAGCCATCACCAACTTCCAAAAATGAGCCGGACAAACTCACCAAATATACGGCCAGTAGCATAGAACATGTTTATAGAACTGTAGACCGCTGTTAACCTGGGTTCTGTTCTATTCGACAATGTTTCAGAGGAAGAGGTCACTCACGTCCCTCCACGCGACCTCGGCGATCCACATCGAATGTCCTTGTTTCCGATCATCGTTCAATTTCTTCACTGGGGTAGCTTCACGAGCTTCTCTAACAAGAGTCCGTGCAGAGATTGTGCCGGCCGCAAGATGTGGGCTAAGAACAGATGTCCCATTGGCCCCGGGAAAATTCCGACTATCATGATACGTGGCTATTCTCTCCAGCACGAATTTGTGCAGCCGATCTTGGGCTTCATGCTCTCCTGCAGGCCACATACTGTGAAACCTCTTCCTTTCGTCTTCGGTCAGCTGTTTCGATGCGGGCGCCGCTGGTATCTCCGTGTCGAATAGTTCCGGGTACTTATCTCTAACAATCCGAGCATTCTTATCTGGCGGGGGGATACTGTCCAGCTCGTTGGGGTTTTGATTGAGGTAGGCGCACCACTTTTTTCGCCAGGGACTGTAGACTGAAATTGGACCACCAGAACCGCTCTTCAACTTGCCAGGTTCGACAACACAAGTGTCATGGACAACGTTGAACGATATCCCCGTCTCCAAGCAAGACTTTGTCAGGGCTGCTTCTCTCCTGAGTTCGTCTACTTCGTATTCGGCGTTGCAGAACAAATGGCGAGCGCCCCACGTCGTGCATAACTCGACGAGTTTGGATGGAATATTCCTCCTCTTCTCAACCGTTTCAACGTACAATGGTATGTCCAGATCACCCAGATCCCCTTTCAGCACGTGCAGGTTGCGGAGAATAAAATCAACACGCACAGGGGCCGTCAGATGAGCTTCGAAGTCCTGAGGCGATATCAAATAAAGGCAAATAAGGGGCACGTTGTGCTTCTTGGCAGTGTTGCTCGCTAGACGCAGCCCCTTGTTGTCTGTTATACGTGCGTCGCATTTGAACCAATGCACCACACACTTTCCCGGCTGTATGCGGTCTCGATCTGCCTGTGTGACTTTGATGGCTTTCTCCAAAGTCTCTATAGGTCGTTCGATGTTTCCAGCACTGTATGCCGCGGCTCGTTCGTTGGTCATCTCGGGAGGATAATACTTGCGGAGGACGATGCCATACTTGATCTCATTTGTTGAGTCTTTATATTGGTTCGAGGCAGATTGGGCAGAGCGGACCTTCTTCTGATCAGGGTTGGGAGCAACTGTAGCGTCTTCTGCTTTTCGCTTGGACGGGCACATGGTCAAAAATGCTTGATTGGAGATGGCTGTCACGTCTATACTTTACTCGCAGGAGGTTATGCACTCAAACGTGGACAGGCGCGTGTCGAGTTCGACTTTGTTTGGAAGAACGCAGCAGTGACAGAAGTCAAGCGATTAACCTTCTCTAGTCGGCATGGAACACGAGTGGTGATGTAATTGCGGGCAGCCATTGGGATCGGACTTGCAAGCGAGATCGATCTGCTTGCCGTGTGGGTCCAGTGTGTTTTGTCCTGTAGGAACTGAACAATGTACTCGCTAGACTCCTGTCGCAGACTTCACGATAAGTCGCTCTCACCAGCCCTCTTTCTAACATACCGAGCATACCTATCCACTTCCCGAGGAACAACTGACGCGTCTGCACTCCGTACAAACCCGTCCTCCGGTCTTAGCAATTAAGGCCATGTGTGCTTTGTCCCCTCTCTCGACCTCGTATATAAAGCACTTCGCCTAGGCCAGTAGACGCAGCCAGAAACAGCCAGTGAAGGGTTTAGATCAATTCAAGATGAATTTTTTTGGTCATTCATCCATCTTTTCGAGAAAGGAACGCAGAATATTCCTTATATAGCATGCATAACCGTGATACTCAGAAGCCCGCCGGTACCAATTTCCTACCCATCTCGTACTTTCTTTCCAGACCATAGCAATCAGAACCATCCAAGACGATATTTATCAATATAGAACCAAACTCCTCACGCCATCGCTGTCCCTATGCAACGCCCAGAGCAAGTCCAAGATTTTTGATGCTCCGTCAATAACAGCCCGCCAGCAATGAACAGTGCAGGCATTGTCATGCCTAGTTTCCGCAAATCTTCCTTATGCCTATGACACACAGGAGTGTTGTTATACATCTAGTGCGGTTTAACCAGCAGTATTCCCACCCAGAACGGCCAGAAGCTACTGGGCGCACTGGTGGAGCAATCATGATAGCGGTGAGACATCGCTTGAGTCCATAACCTCAATATTAAGCTCTTTAGATGTTGCCTGGCCACTAGTTGATTGTGATGCTGCCTTTTCACTCACCTGGGGTACCGCAGTCGAACTGCCCTCGTTTTCTTCCTCTGGTATCGTTGCACAATATTTCTTCAATACCTGCTTGAGGGCAGGCCTTCGAATTGGCTTGGCCAGAAAGTAATCCATCCCTGAAGCCATACATTCGTCCTCATTGGATTTCTCGGCGAACGCGGTGAGGGCGACAATAGGTGACTTGAATCCCATTTCCCGGATGAGCCTCGTCGACTGGATCCCGTCGAGATTGGGCATTTGCACATCCATAAAGACCAGATCGAACCGTTGCCCGCACTCCATGGATTCTCGGACCTTTTCAAAAGCTTCTTGTCCGTCTTTGGCAATGGTGACATCTATCTAGCGGTGAGATGGCGGCATTGCACCAGTTCAGGGAACTTACCATAGACATCTTCCAGCCTTAACATGCGAAGCACCACTTCTTGATTCACCTGGTTATCTTCTGCTACAAGCACTCGGACTTTTCGGCCCTTTTGCGCAGCTTCGTTTTCCACCTTCTTTATTTCGTTGAGTTTTGCTTGGGATGACTCGCTGCTCTTCGTTTCTTTCGCCACATAGGGTTGAGTGAAACCAACTATCCTTGGTACATCGGCCAGTTTAAGTTGGTCATCCCGCGCCGAGGTCAAGGACGTCGAGGAACCACTATGGGTGTGCTGCGTCGCCTCGGGTTGATCGTGCAATGTTTGTCCGAGAAGGCTGCTGGCTTTGGAGGCTGTTTTGTGGGTCGAGGATGACGTTGAAGGACTCCGTTCCGATACATAGCGAAGTGGAATTCGCATGGTAAACTTGCTGCCGACACCCACTTTACTGTCAAGGGAAATGTCACCACCCATCAGTGCCGCTAATTGAGCGCATATGCTTAGACCAAGTCCAGTACCTCCATATTTCTTGCTCAAGCCCAGGTCGCCCTGTACAAACGGTTCAAAAATCATCTTCTGTTGTTCTGGCGGGATCCCAGGCCCCGTGTCCTCAACCTCGAATTCAAAACTTAAATCTTTCGTGTTCACTGGTGCGGGTGACATCGATCGCTGCCTTTCCGCGACTTTTGGTATGTGCGTCGTGCCGCCGGCCACATTAATGCTAAGTTTTGAATCTTCAGTTCCGCCAGAATTCGAATGATTCTTGTCATGATCTGTGCTATCCGGTGAAACTAACGAGCCGTCTGACATCCTTACTCTCTTGTTACTCGATGATTTTGACTTTTTCGAGTTCAGCGACGACTTGCGCGCGCTTCCTGCTCGACTGGAAAAGCTCTCCAAAAGGCCTGTGCATCGGACACGGACTGTGACTGAGCCATGTGCCGGAGTGAATTTAAGGCTATTGCTGACAAAGTTCATGAGGACCTAAGGGGGATTAGCACACCGAATGCTGCTTTCGAGACAAAGCACACCTGCAAAATCCTGTTCTTGTCACCCCATAAACACATATCCCTCACACGGCCCGTGCCAACCGGCCCATAGAGCCTCTCTCCAGAAGAATCAGATGAGTCACCAAAAGCATCGTTCGTCCCGAGGAAAAGCACTTTGAGATCCACCTGCGCCTCTCGAGCCTGCTTCTCGAAGGTAGGAATAAGCTGTGTGCTCAGATCGCTGAGTCGGAATTCTGCTTCGTCAATCGATAGCTGTTGTCCAACCTCATTCTTGCTGAAAGTGAGCAGATCGGTCAACAAGTGAAGCAATAAATCTCCGGATTTGTAAATCGTATTGAGCGTCGACCGAATCCGGCCTAAGTCATCCTCATTCATACAGACGGTTGTGAGGCCGAGAATGCCATTTAGGGGTGTTTTCAATTCGTGGGAAATGTTGGCGATGAAGAGTGTCTTGCTCTGATTCGCCGCTTCAGCAGCCTTTTTGCTTTTCTCAAGCTCCGCCGTGCGCTCCTTCACCCTTTCCTCGAGCCGCTCGTATTGCATTGCCAGCTCGTCGGACATCTCGTTGAACGTGCGTGTTAGCTCGGTGAGCTCATCGGTGATCAAGTGTTTGCGCTCTGGCACTTTGCGAGGTATTCTGAACGTTCTACGACGCAGGTGGCGAGGAGTTGCTGATCGTTCTGGTTGTTTCGGTTTGGTGATTCTAGTCAGAACACCGAAGAAGCCTTCCTTTCTAGCCGCGTCACGCTCATCGGGGTCTAAAATCTCTTCCACTTCTGGTCCTTGCTGGCCCAAAGTGCTCGAATACTCGCTGTTATCGTCAGGTTGGTAAGGCTCCACTGTTCTAGCGGTAGCGGCTGCCAGATGGCGGATTGGAGTGATCGAGTAGTGTGCCATCGGAAACATAATCGCTAGGAGCAAGCCGGTCACAGAAAAGACACAGATAAGAACCACGTCGCGCAGGTGATCGATGGGTGCAACCACCTCGTGGTGAGACTGCTCTACAACCACTACCCAATCGACAAATTTTGTAGATAACGTAGCATAACCAGCGGAAACTCTCGTTCCATCTTCATCGCGTGTTGAGATATAGGCGCCAGCATTATTGATGGCCTTGTTATTCTTGGTCCATGCCGAAACGACCGACGGGTAATCTGACGCAAGGAAAGGCTCGGTGGCATTGGTGACACTGCTCCGAGCCTTGTGCCGATATCCCAGAGTAGAGTTGCTTGTAGGTGGCAAAACAAACCGCACGAGTTGTGATTCTGCATATGATTTAGACGCTCCTCGAATCTGTTGCTGGAAGTGGTTATTGGACGTCGCTGGGCCAATAATCAGGGTTTGTCCGGTTTTATCGAGCCCTTCTGGGGACTGCTGGATCTCGTAGATCATATCAGTATTGGCCAGGACGGTCATCCAACCCAGCACATCGGACCGAGAAGTATTGTTAATCAGCGGAACCGTTAGCGACAGAAGTGAATAAGTCTCATTCACGACCAAAGGTCCCAGGAATAATGTGTCGTCAGGTCGGACGATTTTGCCCTCATAGAAAATAGTTGAAAAATTGGTTCCTGGCTGCGGAGGACCATAAGTTAGATTCGGATACAGTGAAGGCGGATAGCCCAAGCCGGGATCTCCCAAATACACTGCTGAACCGTTGGGGTAGTTGTAAGGCAGTTTAATTGTGCCATTCAGGCCGAGAGCTGTCACATTGAGGAGCCCATTGACCGCAGTCTCGTTGCCATTGAATGCATTGGGATATAATATCGCCTGAACAAGAACGCTGCCATTGGCGAGAGCACCTTGAAAGTCGCTCACAGATCGTTGCCAGTTCTCGTTGGACGTGTTTCCTTCTCGATTGCCATGATTAGCATGAGCACCACCTAGCGAAAAAGGTCCTCGCAAAAATTACCGGAATTATATCTTCCTAAAGCACTCTGAATCAGAAGCCGCGTGCTGATCAACCTGGCTTGCGAATCATACAACAGCAGAGCACTCGTGAATTGTGCAGCCTTGAGTGATGCCGTTAGAGACAATCCAGATAACCTGCGAATTTCCAATTAGCACTACAGGACCTGAGAGTGGAGGGTGTTTCCCCTAACCTGATACTCGTGATGAAATTGTAATTTTGGAACCACTGGCCACAGTATAAGTTTCATTCACCATCGGCAGCTCGGACAAGACATACCACTGCCAGGGCAAGCACCATTAGGGACGTGAGGCAGCAAAAGAGGACGAGCAGTCCGAGCTGCTCCCGTATTGAGATCCGCATGGCCGCGGCGTAACCCAGTCCCTTGCTCTTTGCATCTCAATGTTAACTGCAGCACGCGTCCTTCTCGGCCAGTCCTCAGCTTTGTGGTTGGTTCATGATGAGCGCAACATGGCCAGCGCTTTGAACTGGAAGGAGGCTTTGAGCACTCGTCGTCGTTTGGCGTTGGTCGCCCGATGAAGTCAGCCGGCAGAATAGTGCCCTGTAAATTCTTGGGACTGAAATTCTGTGTCGAGGATCTAAGAGCTGAAGTCGACCCCGAAGGCAAGATGCGGGAGTAAAGACGCAAGTCACTTCGGTAAAAGGTTGCAGGCAATGGATCGGCCGGTGCAGGGGATTGGAGTCGCTTGCGTTCGAGATCGGGAGTAGGGTCGGGAAGTTCGGAGCACAGAGTGAAAAGGTTCAGGAAAAAAAGGACACCTAGACTGAGCAGCACGACAATCTTTACTCGGAGTTGCTGGAGTTAAAGACTGAGTGAGACCCAAGGCCGGTGGTTCCAGGTGCGGACAGAGCGAGAGAGTCGACGAGAGGCAAAAGGCAAATGGTATTAAAGGCAAAAGAGAAACGATCAACAGGTGCGAGCGATGAGCGGCTAGCGAACCCCAAAGCCTAGCCCCAAAGCTCAAGCGTATGACAGAGCCGGGCAAAATTAGCCTGCCAGCCTGCAACTCTGAGTACCTACAAGTACTTGTACAAGTACTTAGAAGGCGGGCGTCCCCCAAAATGGCCAAGCGCTCGCATACATGGGCTCGCTCCATGGGCCATGGGCTATGGATTGTGGAAAAAGCGATACCGCCAACACCGAAATGTCGATGAAAACGCCACTTCTAAGCGAGAAAGGGAAGCTCCAAAGGGGGCAGCCCACTTAAACGGAGTACTCGGTACTTTGCCCATCAAGCCACCCTTGCACAATGTCTCGATTTCAGGTCAAAGGGCCGCGGTGCGCCGCATCTACCGAATGCAAGGAATACGATGTAAAGTCTGACTCTCCAGTTAGGTATGCCTAGCAAGATAGGAGTCGTAGATACATTCCCAGTACCCAAAGTATATCAATAAAATTGACGGAGAAAGAAAAAGGAACGAGAAGGCTCGAGAAATTGCCAGCCCTCGAAGCTCGACCTTGATCCCCCTACTGGGTACTCAACAGGTACGTAGGTGTATTTGAATCCAACGACGCCCATGGTTCAGAAGAGCATGACAGAGTCATCATCGCCAAGTCGGCGATACTACCCTCTGCCCTCTGGATTCCCTCGGTCATAGTATATGTATGCTTGCGTCAACCGGGAGAAAGATCAAATTGGGATGCAAGGGACATCCACCAGAGCAAATGTTTATCCCATTGAGCATATTACCTCATAATACTCCCTGCTTGCAACAACCTTCTCATCATGGGTACCATGATACATAGCCAGATAGGTCCAAGGCAGGTCGCACCTTGGTAAAGTTTATCTTCCCCAGAAAGCCAAGCAGGAAGATGCTTCCGTGACGCTTCCGTTGACGCGTACATTGCATGCTACATTAGTTCCTACCTCTAGGCTCTAGGAGAAACGCATGCTATCGTGAGTGTGGTTCTAGTGTGGTGGAGGATCTAGCACCTTAGTAAAAAGTCGAAATCATGCTGCTGGCTCTGACGCAGCGACAGGATTAAAAAATCATATACTTAAAGCATTCATTCCTCGCTTACCGCTTCTTCTCCTGTACTGCTCGTCACTTCGTCTTTTTTCGATTGAGCCCTTTTGGCCTTGAGATCGCGGACTTTTGGCGCTGTACGCTATTGGAATTATCTCAATGCTACACGATGCACTGTGTCAAGTATGGGCGTGAGGCGAGGCGATTTATGTTGCAGAACAGAGTTTTCTCGGCGGCCAGTAACTGCTCACACTCTTCACCTCAGCCCCAGTCGCGTTGTACCTTGGACTTTGCATCGAGGCCCCTACCTAGACCCATGGTCCCCCAACAATCAAATGCCCGATCAGCTTCATTGGACCGAATTTCTGCGGGTGCCAAAGGTATTTAGGGAAGGAATTTCGACTTCGACATGCGCAGCTTTCGCCTCCCTCCCCCACTTCCTCTCCACCACCCACCATGCGTTGTTTCCTCAGCAGCCTACAGCCTCATGTTCACAAACCACTGCTTGTATGCCTCCTGGCTCGATCAAATAACCCCTTGAACCCATCGATGCCATCAATGTTGATTTAATACTACACATATTCTTCTCCTGCGCCATCCCTGCTGATTCCATGAGGTGACCTATTACTGGACGCATCCAACATGGCCGAAACAGGTACGTCATCGACAAAACCCAAACCCAAGCAGAGACGAAACTGACATTTGCTCCTGCGCAGGCAACATCGCCCCTGTTCTTGACGTCGCCGGTGCTGGCTTCCGACTCTCACTACTCCTTAATGCAATCAGTTCCGAGGTCTCAAATGCCGGTCTCGAGGTCAAGAGCATCCCAAAAGGTGTCACAATTTTCTCGATGATGCTGAAGCACACCGGTCAAGTCCTCCAGGCGCCAGACTCAGTCCACTCCCAAGAGGCTGTTGAGACAGCGAAGTCAATAGCAGACGAAAGCACAAGGGTCTTTGACGAGATCAAGGACATGTGGGTGCAGGCAAGCGCGCAGGGTGCAGACAACACCGCTTCTCCATCTCTTCAACAGAGGTTCAGGCGGACTTTCAAGAAGCACAGGGTCACATATCTGCTCGCACAACTCGAGAGTCTCCAGTTAAGCCTCTCAGTCATGCTGCAAGTAATTCAGCTGGGAAAGGTGATGGCGTCCACCTCACGAAGGTTTGATTGACCACAAAGGGCGCCAAAGACAACCGCTAATAAACGAAAATATAGTGATTCTCCGGACGAGGTCTCGGTGAAAAAGGAAATGATCAGTCAAGAGCGCGCCGAGGCTCAAAACGCTGTTATTGTTCGTTACTGGCAGATGAGCAACATGGATATCTTGTTCGAAGCCTCGCAAAGGGAAGAGGAGGAGGACCGAAATTCAAGTATCTATAACGGGACTGTGCGAGACTATCAAGCATCAGTCGTTGCCACAGACAGTTCTCAGCACACCGTCAACACCCTCCCTCCTAAGTACGCTGCCTCCAGGGCTTTGGTCAGGCTTCCAGTATTTTCTCTAGGTGAGCTTGATCATACGTTGCATCAAATCAGAGACTCTCCTCGTGATATGGTTCAGGTGTCGGACCGGGCAATCGATCCTCTCCTCGAAAGATGGACAATCTGGCGTGAAATCCGAGAAAGGCGCGACAACCGTGACTCGGGTTCAAGATACGCTCCCTCAGTATACAACCTTAACGAAGACGATGAGGAGATCCCTTTCCATGAGCGATACCAGGAGCGCGAAGACAGCCCTCGTGGCTATTACCTAGAGGGTATCACAAACGATTGGAGGAAGCCAAATTCTGCTTCTGCGCGTCATGAGGCATTCAAGAGACGAAAAAAGTACTCCAATTACCAGCCCAGCGTGAGTGCGGCAAGCAGCGACGTAGAAGATTCCCCAGGAGGGAGCACTAGCTCCAAAAAGGGTTCATCAATGCGCTATGTTATTGACTCCGGCTCAGAATCATCTGCCTCCGAATCTGAAATGGCTCAGCCGAAACCTCAACGCCGCGGTAGCAGCAGCCCGGCAGGTGAGCGGAGGATACAAGTTCCTGGGGGAGACACCCCGGTGGCACACACCTTCACCGCACCGGCTCACCCACCGCCGTGGATCACAGCAAATTCTACTGGTGGTGTCCATCGGCCGCCGTCCACCCAGCCCTCTGTGGGGTCGGCTCAGTCGACAGCATCCAGGCTATCGTCGCCGGCATACCACCCACCAGGCCATCGTCCATGGGCGACACCCGACCAGAATTTGACACATCATAGTGTCTCATCACCTCTACTACCTGCTCACCCACCCACCGCTCCGAACCCATTTATGCCTCCGCAGCCTCTCTGCTTCCCCCGTTACGGGGGGCAGGTGCAGCCGCAGGTACATCCGCAGGTACAGCAACATAGGTACCCGCAACTCGCAACATACACGCAGCCTTCTCGTCAAGCACGATATAGTTCTGAAATGTCACCTCAATGGAGCCTAGCACCACGACCGGTGTCTCAAGATGGTAAATCCGCAAGATCGCCATCCCGATCATCCCAGCAGGGCTTACCTATTCGCAACCATGACGAGAAGAGGCACGCGAGGGAGAAATCGACGAAGCACAATATCCGAGAGAGTGCCACTAAGGGACTCCTAGGAGCTGGAGCGATTGCCGGGTTTTTGGAAGCATTGGAAGGCTTAAGTCTCTGATGGCTTTGTTCGTTTCATCAACGAGGTCAGGATAAGAGGCACCAGACTCATTGGTTACGATTTTCGGCGATGTAAAACCATTCTGTTCGGAGATCTCTCGAAATTTTTATGTCAGGCATGTAAAATGCAAAATGCATCGGCCATACGCATCTAATATCCTTCGAATGTGGTTTAACCATGTTCGTCTTCTGCGAGTTACAAAGCTGCCTCGTCCTCTAAACGCATGTCTCACCCGATATTGTAGCATTGCGGCCTCAACATAGGCCAGTACGCCCTCTGCAAAAGATCGCTTTCCGTCGCACGTCAAATATCAAAAAGCGAGCCATTGCATATTTGCCCGGCACAATCTAACTTCAACTCAACGTTCTAGGGAATAGCGTCATAGTATGAGACTTCCCCAGGTGTTCAGTCCACCAGTAAAGTGGGCCTGAGTGGGGTCATCGCGATCTGAAACGTCTTTTAACTCTCGTCCCGTTGGAGCAGCGAACCGGGATCGGGAGCCGAGTTTCATAGTTGACAAGGACGCGGTGAGGAGCAATTCCACCACAGCAATCGCGAGCGTCATCTGTCGAGAGATCTGCTGTTTGACAGACAGGAAAAATACCCATGCCGTTATGCGGAGCATGATAACACTGCACCGAAAACTTGAGAACTTCGGTATCCATGGAGCCACTGTACATGGATTGCGGCGGGGCGAGACCAACCTTCAGCCTCCTGATCAGCGTGCACTTTAACTCTATAATAAATCGCTTACACCCCCGAAGATGCTAACTCACCCTTTGATCTGGCTGGTCATATTCGGGGAAGCCTGTTGACATCGGGTGGGACAAAGACGTCACTGTGAGGGCGTGGCATCGCATAGACAAATGCTCGTCGCGGATGGGAATGCCGTTGCTGGCTGGTCCTACCAACACGATCGGGTTCCACGGGGTCGACAGTCTTGAGGAATAACATAGCCATTTCAATCTTCTTCCTCGATTGCAACCAGCTAGGGTCTGACGAAAGGTCGTCACTGGATGCAGATGATCCGGATGGTGAGGTCCTTTGCTCCCCTTGGCGGTCGCTATAGAGTGGTTGGTGAGCGCCCCTGCAGACTAAACTCCTATCTATCCACATCATCTTGCCGAGAAGGGCCGTTGCGAGAGCGATGCTGTGGTCTTATATCATGGTACAAGGTAGACAAGAGAGGGATACTGCAAAGCAAAGACAACCCATTGTGGCAGCAGTGATGGTCAACGTGGAATTAATGTGATAGTACTCGGTAAGGGCAGAATAGTGGCTAGCCATGCTGGAAAGAGGTGATCGTCGATTCCTGGAGGGGATCGCTAGGTGTGGACACATCGTTTCAGCTTGAACTCAAATTGTGCTATCTAAAATATACATGCGTACGTGGTGGTATCCTCGATATCGGGCTCCTAGCTCGGCGACTGCATCCCGGCTGGCAGGACAGGACTCGTATGTTGGGCAAAAGGGCAGATCGACTTCGCATAACCGCAAGACATCCACATGCTTTCAAAGGCGAGGGGTTGTCTCGACTTGAGCAGAGGGGCGAAATGCTGTCGCCGAGTCGCTAATCGAGGATTGGGTTAAACCGCTCCTCCATTTCCCCCCGCTTGGGTCGAAGTGAACCAATGCGGTCCAGACCAGGGGCGCCTCGGGTCTCTTTGGGGTGCCATCAACATGCAGCCTCAATTTTTGGGCGGTGCCCGTTGGTTGTGGCTCGTGGCGGCCCCAGGCGTCTCTTGTACATCTTCCCACCTCGCGCGGTGCCCTTGGGTGCTGTCCTCTGTGCCCGCTGATGCCATTTGGGCATCTGCAGCGGCGATCTTGCCTCAGGAGGTGCCCTTGGTGCGCTGTTGCAACTTCCATGCGGTAATCCGTCTTGCCCGTCCATCACCATCCCTTTCCCACTAACAAACCTTCATCCCTTCCTCTGAACCCAGAACCACCTCCAGTTTCCAGTCATTACTCCTATTCTCGTCCTCCTGCCCTACCCTCTCTCCGTGCTTTCTACGCTCTGCCCCTGAGGGCCCAAAATCCGCGTCTAGAGCCTGTTGTCTCGCCCTGCCCAGCCGACACCTTTTCCCGTTTATCCGCTTCGCTCTTAGCGTCCTTTTGGAATGCCCAGGTCCATTCCACCAGTTTCCCAGTCCAACCCATCCAGTCGTCCACTGTCTGCGCTCTGAATCAATCGAATTACCAGCTTACCAGACATCTCCAATTCTGCAACCACCTGACTGCTTGTGCCTATATCCTCTATAGACCGTGGAACGACGTCTTCGTCACTCAACGCTCGCCCGCGAATTTTTCTTCCTTGAACAAAGTGGCTCTCCGGCCATTTTGTGTACGCTGCTGGACGCAGCCCAGAACCAGAGCCCTCTGGCACACCAAAATCGCCTGTCGCCATCCTATCCCTACCGCTCCTCATGAGGAGGAACAATCCATAGAAGATTTCGCATCGTCCATGTCTCGCCCGGACGAGACACTGGCAGCCGCTGCGGCAATTCTACGTGGACTGGCCAAGGGCTCGATTGCCTCCACCTACACCAATGGCTTGAAGCTCCCACCATACAACCTCCCCGGCGAAGACACGCCAGGCAAGGAAGATTTCGAAGCTGAAATAGCCGCTCTTGCAAGACGCATACACTACCTGGAATCTCGGGCCGATGTTGTTGGCCGCTCGCTCCCAGATACACCAGGTGAATTTCAGAGTCCTGCCTCGCCTTTGTCTCGTCCGGTCGAACCTCGAAGTTCTCTGGGGGAACCTGGCGCTGATTTCTCCGCAGACACTGCTGAGAGAGCACCCGCAAACTCCAATCACTCAAAGCGTGTCAGCCATCTTCTTGCTGCTAGAGACTCCTTCCGACCCTCGGAGCCGGACCGCGCAGTCAGCGAAGATGATATCAGCATATTGCGAGAACACGTCGAAAGGCAGGCGGAGCAGATAAAGAGTCAGCGGGATACAATTGCAGAGATCAGTCGTGGTTTGCGAAATTCTGAGGAACAGGCTAAACAAGCTTTCATGCGAGTGGAAAATGAAGACGTCTCTATACTAGAGAGAGAACTGCGGAAACATCAACAAGCCAACGAGGCATTCCAAAAGGCACTGCGTGAGATCGGCGGCATCATCACCCAAGTTGCAAATGGCGATTTGTCCAAACGAGTCCAAATCCAAGCAACGGAAATGGACGACGAGATTGCCGCCTTCAAGGTCACCATAAACACTATGATGGATCAGCTTGAGATCTTCGGCAGCGAGGTCACTCGTGTCGCACGCGAAGTAGGAACTGAAGGCATCTTGGGCGGACAGGCTCAAATCAGTGGAGTACATGGCATATGGAAGGAGTTGACTGACAACGGTATTGCCCACATTCCTTCTGTTTCAAGCATTTGAACTAAGTCTAGGACAGTCAATATAATGGCAGCGAACTTAACCGACCAGGTCAGAGAGATCGCAACCGTCACAAAGGCCGTCGCTCGTGGTGATCTCAGTCAAAAAGTGCAGAGCCGCGCAAAAGGTGAAATATTTGAACTACAGCATACCATCAATACTATGGTAGACCAGCTACGGACATTTGCCACCGAAGTAACCCGCGTAGCTACAGATGTCGGGACGGAGGGTGTTTTGGGTGGACAAGCCCAGATCGAAGGAGTTCAAGGCACCTGGAATGAATTGACCAAAAGCGTGAATGCAATGGCAGACAATCTCACGACACAGGTCCGAGACATCGCAATGGTCACCACGGCTGTCGCAAAAGGTGACCTGACTCGGAAAGTCACCGCGAGCTGCAAAGGGGAGATTCTCCGTCTCAAGATTACAATCAACAACATGGTTGATCAATTGCAGCAGTTTGCTCAGGAAGTCACAATTTTAGCCAAGGAAGTCGGAACAAACGGTGTGTTAGGAGGTCAAGCGACAGTGCACGACGTCGAAGGTACTTGGAAAGATCTGACTGAAAACGTCAATGGCATGGCGATGAACTTGACAACACAAGTGCGAGAGATTGCTGCAGTCACCACCGCTGTCGCCAATGGCGATTTGTCAAAGAAAGTTACCGCGGATGTCCAAGGCGAAATCCTCGACCTGAAGGTGACCATCAATTCAATGGTTGACAGACTGAACACATTTGCATTTGAAGTCAGTAAAGTGGCTAGAGAAGTCGGCACAGACGGAACACTCGGAGGGCAGGCAAAGGTCGACAATGTCCAGGGCAAATGGCGAGATTTGACCGACAATGTCAATACGATGGCTTCGAACCTAACGGACCAAGTGCGAGGTATCTCGGATGTGACACAAGCCATTGCCGCGGGCAACCTAGACAAGAAGATTGAAGTGCAAGCACAAGGTGAAATCTTGACCCTGAAGGTCACCATAAATAACATGGTAGACCGCTTGGCGACCTTTGCCCATGAGGTGCGGCGAGTTGCTCGCGACGTGGGTGTGAATGGCAAAATGGGTGGCCAGGCCAATGTCCACGATGTCAGTGGGCGATGGAAAGAGATCACAGAGGACGTCAATACTATGGCCGAGAATCTGACTGCCCAGGTTCGTGCTTTTGGGGAAATCACTGACGCCGCAACCGAAGGAGATTTCTCCAAGTTGATCAGCGTCAACGCCTCTGGTGAAATGGATGAATTGAAGAGGAAGATCAACCAGATGATTTCGAACCTCAGAGACAGCATTCAGAGGAACACGGCGGCACGTGAAGCAGCCGAACTGGCCAACCGGACGAAATCTGAATTTTTGGCAAACATGTCCCACGAAATCAGGACCCCTATGAACGGCATCATCGGCATGACACAGCTAACGCTAGACACTGATGATTTGAAGCCGCACTCACGAGAGATGCTCAATACGGTCCACAACCTCGCCAACAGCTTGCTGACCATCATTGACGACATCCTAGATATTTCCAAGATTGAAGCCAACCGCATGGCCATTGAAGCTATTCCGTACACAATTCGTGGTACCGTCTTCAACGCTCTGAAATCCTTGGCTG